ATTATGCAGAAACACGGCTGATGGGAGACGAGGAAACTCGGGAGATGATGATGATGATATTTTTCGAGAAATGCTATTTCGAATAATTTGACATCATCTATCAACATTACATGTACATACACCCCAGTGACATCCATCTGATTCTAGCTTGTTAACTTAGATATAATTCGACCTGGCGGCAGGGTACTTTAAAGTTTACTTTAAGATAAATCTTAATTGTGTCTTGTTTAAATCATAAATGACGAATTCCGCTAAATTAAAGGATAACAACAACACGACGCTGCAAAAACATTGGAAAGAATATAGTAGCTATGTCTGTTTCATTTTAATATGTCGGGTTAGAGTCTTTATAATATCTGGAACAAAATCACATAGAAACTCGGTTTTGAGATCACAATTTAATTCCCTTATTTCGTACATGAATTATATTAGAAAATACCGTTAAGACATTCAACCCCAATTGCGCTAACTTACCTAATCGGAGAAAACCGACACTCGATATACCCTGCTGCGTTTATGATCAATATCCGGATCAATATCCGGCTTAATCAGTATTGTCTTCGATTATGGCAATACAGCACGTGGCTATTACACAATATTATGTCATAAATGAGACCGCGCGAAAAGAATCAAAATTGGGGAATTCGGAACTTCATAAGATTTCTATTAAAAACTTGTGTACAGAAACGCAAATCTTTGTTTCCTGAAATAAATAAATAAATAAATAAATAAATGAATGAATGAATGAATGAATGTAGAATAAATGAATGAATGATTGGTTGATTAAATAAATAAATAAATAAATAAATAAATAAATAAATAAATAAATAAATAAATAAATAAATAAATAATAAATAAGAAATATATGAATAAATGAACAATGAATGAATGAATAAAAAAATGAATGAATGAATGATTGGTAGATTGATTCAATGAATGAATGAATGAATGAATGAATGAATGAATGAATGAATGAATGAATGAATGAATGATTGTTTTTTTTTACATATGCAAGTATATGTATTATATTATGTATAGCCTATTTTTTATATATCAATATTATATATTTATCAATAATATATCAACGTAAAATTTAATTGCTGTGTGGACAATCCCGATTACATCTTCGTGATTTCACAATTATTTTAACTTTCACGAATTCAACTTCACAGATTCACGATTTTATTATAATTAATTCATGTTTTGAACATCACAATTTCAACTATAGCATTTTCTCATGTTTGGCTTATCATTATGAAATATTATAATGATAATGATAAGGAAATTACAAAATAACATGATTCACCATAGATGCAAAATGCAAAACAGTACTATCTAATCGGCAATCGCAATTGTAAAGTATTCGCTATTTATCTGCGGGTGTATGCTAAAAAGCAAACCTAGAATACCGCGTCTGCATGTTACAGGTGGATGTCTTACACGTTCTGTGCACTGACGATATTATTTGTACGCAATTGACGCGTTAATAACTCCAGGAAATGTTGCATTGTGTTAATTGTCAAATGTCTGACAAATATATGATCAGACTATTTATTTACTCTTACAGAAAATAGGCTATTCAGAAGTAAATTTTCATTCGCTATTTCTATATACAGAATCCGTATTTGCACGAATACGGAATTCCGTATTTTAGTAATATACGGACTTGTTATAAAAATTCCGTATATTAGTAAAATACGGACTTCGTACATCAAAGTTCCCGTATATTACGAGTGTACGGAGTTCGTATACTAGTCATGTACGGACTGATATAATATACGGTCCCGTACATCTCCGTATTTCAAGTTTTCCGTATTCTTACACGTATATTAATGATATACGGAATTCCGTACACTTCCGTATATCCATGTCTTTTTCGCAGTGTTGGCGTCTACATTTTGTCAACATATACAGATATATCTTCGCTTCAGACCTCAAATATATAATCAAGAATTTAAACAGAAATTCATGCTGAAACTTCAAGAAAAGTCATTTTAGCATGATATGAGTACATAAGATCATTTTGATTTTTTTTCATTAATTTGCCTGAATATCCCTTTAAATATGCCATTATATGGAAGGAAACTCGTAGTTTTCATTTAAAAATAACCTGTAAAAACTTGTCTGAAAACAACAACAACAACATATATTTAAAGCTGTTAGGCTACTTTTTTTACTCGTATGGCCGGTTTTATTTAAACAACGTGCGTATTTACAATTCTGTGTTATAATCTCTTTGAAAACTACATAAAAAAGGTTCTGTTTCACAACAGTCTTAATTTCGTAAAATGATTTTTGTTTCCTTATTGACCATTCTTTGTATCGACCAAGTGCATCATATTTATGCAAAGTCATTTAAAATTCCATCCATTGTAGACCGGGCACGAAAATCAATGCATTTTAATGAAATAACCTTATGCATGACATTGACCCTTGAGCTCCAATTATTTATTTTTTGCAAGACACATCAGCTCAAACATTTATGCTTGACTATTTGTAATTAGTTCTTTGAAAGACAATGTTATGAACCGGCACGACTATACTCTCAATTACAGTATGATATTGGACGGACAAATGTTTTTCTTAGTCTTTGATGTAGAGAATTGATTCTTGTGCATGTCAAAAATTTTTTGGCAAGATCTTAAAAAGCAATTTAGAAACGAAAGAAAAATTGATCGGCAATTGTAATCGATGTTTTCTCATAAGAATATTATATCATGTCTGGACATATAAGCTTGGCGTTTAACCTTGAGTTTGTGTGCGAAACACGTCAAACATTATTTCTTCATTAGTAATTTATTTTAAAAAGTCCACGAATGACTGAATTGTTGGCCGGACACGTCCATGAAAACAGTGTCATAATCTATTTATTTCACCTTCGAATAACAAACTTAGTTTTTGCATGTTTATGCATGCGACTCATCGTCTCAATATGCTACACATTTAAGCAAAACCATTTCCAAGTCCATTCATGTATCATAATATTATTGACAAGGCCGACAAACAGAGGGACGGACAATTCTGAAACTATATGACACCATTCAGAGCTATTGAAGTCTCAGTTAACAAGTAAGGACATGTGACTTTCATTTCCAGAATTGAAATCGATTGATAGACTGAATGTAATTTTTTGGTTGTCTACTTTTGAATTTGAACAATTTTCTTAAGTGTATGTTATTTTATTCAATAACCAGGCAAATTGAAAATATATAAATGTACAATTTTGCAGGCCGGAACTGTTGCATTTTGCATTACCAAGACCTTAAATTTTCAAATCATTTAGGTAATTCAGATATCATATCTTTTTTTTATCATTTTGTTTTGGTTTTGTCCGTGCGTACCTTGTTCTTAGGACATATGTTGACAAACAACATTTCTAAAACTATCTGCCACAAATGTAATGATTTTAATTCTCTACATGAATTCAATCAATAAGCGACCTTTGTAGCTATTATAAACTGATCAACTGTTCAGATGTTTAATAGTTATTGTGTTGCTGTAAAGAACTCATTTATGGTCAAATGTAGAGATTTTATAAAAATGACAAATGCAAGCCGCCCAGCTTTTACGAAAATTGGACAATTGTATATGTTCGAATGATAAGCTTGCTTGAAAGTTGCAACACATGAAACAATTCATTATGTTTTGATGATCGCGATAAATGAATGGAAAACAAGGGATAGGAAGTCACTGACGTTTAGCCATAGTAATTTAAAACATTCAATAAACAACTCAAAATCTTATGAAATCTTTATTAGGCTAATAATTTACGACACTGAAAGTGAGCATCACAGTTATACACAGTCTATAATAATTATTTATGAATTAATATCATATTACAGATTATTTTAACAATTTTCTAGCATCTTACCACAATTAATGATACCATTTTCGTTTAATATTTCAAAATGTTTCAAAATGTTTCCATCAAATATTGATGTAGAACGAATTATCCAAGTAAGAAAGTTTTACTGATATCAATTATACCATCATTATGACACATTTCATCACATTTTACAATCATGTATTTTATATGACGTATCTATTAGTTACAATAACAAGTCAAAGTAATTATTGCCTGTGTATACAATATCATTATAAAGTAAAACCACTTAAAACAATACCTATTTAATTTTCTTTTTGCACAAAGCGTAACTATCGATAAACTAAGAAAGAAAAGCAATATATCATAAAAATGTACATGAATAATGCAAAATTGTGCTTATAAACGTGCAAAATGATACTAAGATTGAATTGTCGGAGAGCTGTAAGAATAATGTTGTAAAACTTATAATGATGTTATGAAAATTCAATAAAGGAGATATGATAAGTGATAAATTATTATTCTGCAAGGTCTGCAACATTCTCTACGATTTATGTATGACAAACGAAGCAGAACAAAATTAAAAATATCTAAAGTAAACTCTTGTCTCATTTTTTATGTCATTAGGTATTGAATTTTTAGATGAGGTACAAATATATAGATTGCCAAAAGAATTTAATACTAAAGATATACTATGCTCATTTTTTAGTAAAATATTTTTGTCACGGCAATTTATTAAAATTCTTTTAAACAATGCAGATATAACAAAACAGAATCAATTCATCTATAATAAACGCTAGTCTCATTTCTTTTATATGTCATTAGTTAGTTATGGAATGAGTTATAGATGAGGACATCAAATACAAAAATATATAGATTGCAAAAAAAAATTTAAAAAACGATTTAAGTTTTACTACGCTCATCCTTTAGTAAAATGTTTTGTCACAGAATTTAATTGCAATCTATTAACTTCTCATTGAAAACGCTTCATGTAAACAACAGAATGACTAAACTAAATATTAGAAGCTGTGTTACTCATTACAGGTATTTAAAAAAAAAAACTGCCCTTTTTTAATGACGCTATATATTCATATTGTAACCACATATAGCGCGTATTATTTTAAACATGACAAACCTACTTTGTGTGCAGTAAAAACTTGTTTATTGTTATATACTGTGTAGAAATTATCAATATTTTATTTTATTAGATGTGAGCATAGTATATCTTTAAGTCAAAAACAAAGACTGAACAATAACAAACTACAATATATCTTTAGTTCACTTCATCTATTTCTCGTTTTGAATTTCTATTTCACAAAGTGCATATATCAAGTAACAAGTGTGTTTTAAGCAAGTATTCCATGAAATTTATTCATAAAGAATTCATATTGAATGGCTACGTGTGCTAAATCCGAAATATATGATGAACAAATGTTGTATAAAATCTCCTATTGTTTAACGGGAATGAATTATTTCTATATAGAAATAAAGCTTAAAGACGAATTTTACGAAAACCATGTATCTTAATTAGGTTTTTTATGAAAGAAAGCTAAAATATATTTGAGACATCTCTAGGTTATAGATCAAAGTATTGTCATAAACACATTTGTTAAAAAGGACGATACAAATCATATAAAGTTGCAAGTAAAAGTAAGAAGAACTAAATCTTTCTCAGAAACTTCTTTTTATTTGTTTGATATTAAATTGATAAAACTGTTAGTAAAACAAATATTTTAGAAAATGATGTTTAAATCTTCACGACAAAGTTGGTCTACAGCTGTTGGAAGTGCGTTGAAATTTTGTCAGTTTTACTTGATCTACTACTTCTTTTTGATGATGTAAAAAAAGCTTTAAATCTCTGTTTTACTTTCGGTAGTCGAATGGCGTAAATGAATGGGTCAAAAACAGCATTCAGTAGAAGAACCAGATATAAAATATTAAGGATTTGTGTGACGTTATCAATATTAAGAAAGATGTACATACGATCAGTTCGATTTTTGATATACATGAAAACAGTGTAAACTGCAAAAGGAGTCCAGAACAGTATAAAGGTACCGACAAAGAGCCCAGTTGTCATTAACGCTTTAAAGCTTCCAGAGTCGGAATGATGGCGTGCCCTTTCCCGTCGCGGCATCGCTCTTTTTATACGGCTGTAGATTCTTCCGTATAGTAAACATATTGCAACAAGTACAATAAAGATGAACAGAATAATGGCTACTTCTATATTATAATTCCCTTCTGTAATTGCAGTGCAAATCGACCCGCCTTGACCAATAGCAAACACGACTTCTGCTAAACCCATGAATAGGCTGACAAGCCAAACCATTACAACAGCAAAATTTCCTTTGACAAACGTCATCTTTTGCCTGTAACGTAATGGTTTAATGATCGCGCCATAATGATCAAGGGCCATGACAAGTAGATTCAAAAGTGTGGCGAAAATTGCAACATCTGGTGTCAACCTTACTACAGTCTTAATACAATCATGTCCATTGAAACAGATGTAAGTGAAATAATATGAAAAGTTTCCAAGAGAAATGAGAGCATCTGACAAACAAAGGCTTATGATAAGTTTGAGGTGCGTCGTCATTTTCTTTCGCATTTTGATAATTGCTATAATTGATGCAACGTTTGCTATGATGCCCAAAATACAAACAATAACTGTCAATGCTTCGATTGGATCTGTAAATATTATGGCAGCTCTCTCTGCTGTAGTTCGAATTATTGGATGCCGGTCCCAGCTCTCTATACTGCTCAAAGTAGAATTATCGGTAACCGTTGTATTTTTCGCTGTGTCATTTTCTAGAAGGACAATGGTACTATACTCAGGTACGTCGTACTTGACATTACTGGTTTGTGTCGAACTCAACATATTTGTAAAACACTGTCAATCTACACTGTAAATAAATAAAAACATTTACTAGAACGATCTTTTTTGTGTTCGTAACAATAGTTCTTTCTCTGTATATAACTAATACAGGTTTCTGTCACAATTTGAACTTAAAATAATATTTGTATTGTATTATTCTTAACCTATAAATCTTGGACCCGTTTTGTGCGTTTTGTTCTAACTATGAAGACGTTTTGCACAATTAACAATGATTATTATCTCACAATCAAATATTTGGCATCTTACGCCTTCAAATTATATAAGTTTTAACAAATACCATCTTTACATAAAGAATGTCAATTAAACACAAGTTTTAATTTTCTTAACACACATGAAAACTTTACCAAAAGTTGTCTATTTTTTTCTTTTTACATAAGGTTTCAGTTATTGTTTCTGATTTCCAAACTTAGTTTCACTATTTTATTTGAAGGTGTGAGACTTTTCAATCATAAGGTGAGAATAAATATATCAATATATCATATCTTATATATAAAATCACTTATGTAAGGTTTACAATACCATAGATAATTATGTTGATATTGTTAACTATAATATTGCCAACAAACGTACAAATCAAGAAATACTGTGTTTTTTTACAAAGTTATGCAAAATTTAAAGCTTTCCAATATTGATTATAGCAAAAGCTTGCTATTTAAGGAACGGTCTCAGTTCACTATGTACAGTATCGACACGAGCATATTGAAACCATGCAAACAAACCTCGATTATTTTAACTATGATTAGTCATTAAGTTGCTTTCAATCTTTAGAAATTAAAATTGAAATATACACGCGATGGTTTACATAGAAATGAGAGATAATGTAACTTTGTAAGCAAGGTACTGTGAACTTAGAATATCACTTACTATTTTTTCCAAACTTACAATTTCTTATGCTTCTTAATGTTATCAAAGAATAAGCATGGAATGTTTCAGATAAGAGATTAATTCGATAATAATTAGTCTTGTTTATGATGTTGATTTTACAAAGGCAATGTTACGACAAGTGCAATGAAGTTTAAATTTCAGTGAAGCTTACGGATAAGTAAAAGTGTGCAATTTGTCATAAAATAACATAATTTGTATGTATGTTCGTAGACAAAAAAACTTTTGTTATGAAACAAATTGCAATGTGCTTATTTTCTTCATGTTATTTCTGTCCAATTAGAATTAGTAAAGTTTTACAAATTCACCTCTAGATATAACATTATGTCCCTTGTACATGAATATGTATGCACATTTTGATTATGATATGGCTAGGCTAATTTTATATTTTGTTTAAGGAATAAACAGTCTCCTTGTTAATTGATATTGTTTGAGGTACTGTTTGCAAGAACGATGCCGTTTTTTATGTTTACATTGTGCTAATGCTAAGCATTTTAGGTTTTAAACAAACTATCACATGTAGCATTATGTAGTCTAAATTTATGTGCTTAAATTTTTATATGAAATCAGTTAGTGCATTTTGTACCAGTTTAAAATTACAATTTGTGATTCGGTTTGCGAATTATTAACAAACGAGATCACAAATATAATCTTAACATACATGCTTTTCAACAATGGGCAATATTTGTGATTTAAAATGTCTTATTTTATTTGTAGAAAACGAATCACGACCAAATTAAAAGGTTTTGTTGTTGTTGTTGTTTTTTGTTGGCAGAACATTGCTGTTATTACTTTAGAAATTCATTTATTTTGTTATAAACGGGTTGAAAATAATATTTTCCTTTGTTATAAAATATATTTCGCCTCTTTGATCCTCTAACAGAACGGTTTATATTTTATTTTACGAATTACCTCAAAATCTATTTTCACACATTTTATTGTATCAATACATTTATTGTAGTATTATATCACAATTTGGTATAATTTATTCAGCATTATGTTAGGTAAATTGACAGTTTATTATATGTAACGAAATAGAATTATCACTACAACTATGGCGAAGGCTTGTTGAATTTAATGGAAATATATATTAACAAAAGGCTTAAAACATAAATAAATATTTATTATAGAAGTTAATTCAAGTGATGCAAATAAGAATTATTTCAAGATATAGAATAAAATGGAAAGAATTTTACAATTTGTTAATTAATAATGAAAATAACTAGTTAATAAGGTATATCTTTCTAATTTTATCAAGTAAATGTATAGAATTTGTGTATTATAATAAGTAGAACAAATATTTTCATCCTTTTGAGAAAATAAATACCAAGTGATTTGTAGAGGGATAGTTTGAAGGAACTTTTGGTGGAAAAAGAAATGCTAAAAAAACAAAGTTAAACTTTTTGACACGATGTATGATTGGACATGCAAAAACAGTAAACAAAATTGCATGAGATACAAACACAGTTAAATTGTTTTGGGCATAATCGTGAATTTCTGCAAATAAGCTTATGTAACGGAACCATTTTATATAATACAACAGCAGAGGATAACGTACGCCACGGAAAAAAAACGACAACTCACGAATGGATGGACATTAAGTTTATTTTTGTGTTTTATTGACAAACAGCGAAAGAAAAGCGAACACTTAATATAACAAGTTTATTAACCTGGACATATATACAGTAGAATCCTACTTAGGGCAAGTCCGGAATAAGTATCATCCAGCTATAAGGACCAATTTTAATGAGATGTTTTTTCTTTATGACAATGGTAACATGATACTCGACTTTATGGACCACCTTATTCAGTTCCATAATTCTTTTTTTTTTCGGGGGGGGGGGTGTCTATATTTGCCCCACTATTGCAACCACTGTAAGTCCATGCAACTCCTACATGTATTTAGAGAACAAGTTTTTGTTATGATTTTGTATTATTTTAGGCATGACATTTGATGTTACACGGTTGTAAATTGGTATAAGTAATATAGTATTAAATCGGGTGGAAAATAAACCGTAGAGTGGTTTAATATTGCTCTCTGGACATTTTGATGAATAATTTATTTCTGATTTGATAGATAAATTATGTTTATCATCTGATATTGAAATCAGATTAATTAGAATTTTATCTTTAGTATAAAATTCCTTCAGAATTTTGTTCTGCTCTCTTCAGAAAAGAAATTATAATACCCTTTTATAATAGTATTTGAAGGTTATAATGCATATTGTTTGTTCATAAATTAAGACTATTTTATTTCAGTCTCGTTGGTAGTCTTAATAGAGGATTTTCAATGTATTGCCAGGGTACATAATTTCATAATTATTGAAATCTAAATTCAGTAACAAAAATAAAACCCATTTTAAATATTTTGGAAAACAATATTTTGTCTCTAAAACTGGATACAAAATATTTTGTATATAACATTTTAATCATCCATGTAACAAACAGAAATATTCGAACATCAACACAAATTCTATGTGTACATATCCATTTCATAGAAACATTAATTTTATTAATTATTGATATATCTCTCAATGTGTACAGAAATTCTCAAGATAATTTCTTATATTTAAAATAATTTTTGTTCTACATAGCAAATTACATATTTGTCAAAATTAAATAGTTATCATAACCTGAACGTAATTTATTACCTTTAAAAGTTAATCCTTCGTTTATATATCCGTTACAAATCTGAATATAATTGTCTTTATATTTGCAATAAAATATATCTCACTTCATCTTTGATACCAGTGTACAGCCCTGCTTCTTGTTAAACAACTGACAGCAGCGGCTTGTTTCACGACATTTCATTGGATTTTTAGCGCAGCTATTGTGTATTAATGTATTTATTCTGAAGGCGTTTATGTAAATTTCCAATACTGTACAACATGGAAGAATCTGAACAAAATAATTTTATAATATTAAACAACATATATCCAACATTACTGTCGTCATGGTTTGAATTAAACAGGATATGACTTCATGGAAAAAAGCTAAAGACAAAAATGTTATATCGTTTATTTGTGACTCGTCAAAAGATTCTACAAATCCTGATAGTAATTGGAAGAATTCAAGGAAAATATTAAATGTATTCTTCATGTTATAATATCGAAGCAATGAAGTGGAAACTGATGAAACTGGAATTTGTCCTGAGGCATAAACATAATACATTTTCGAAATTCTATTATAGTAAGCTCGTGTTTACGAAACTCAACGCTTGCTTATTGTATGTTACTATTTTGGATAATGATTGCGATTGTGTTTTTAAAGAATAGATCTTTTATGTATTTTGCATAAAATTGAATAAACTTTCTGTTTTGTCCTCTCTGGAAAACTAGTTATGTAATGCGCAATTACGCAATTGCTTTTCCGCCGACTAGCCGACTCAATTTCATTTAAATGGGATGTTTTCTCGTGTGAAAGAATTGTACATTTTCATATCTTGTCTGAAGAGATAATAGAGATCATTTAGAAATTATCCACTATATTGAATGTCTGTCTTCTTTTGTTTGAAACGTATTTTTTTTAAATACAAATTTTTAGCATAGCATATTCAGCGTTGCTTTCAATCAGAAAATCCGTTATGTTCCGAATTGAAGTGACTAAAGTGACGTAATCATTCTTACGACAATATAACTGAAATAACAAATAAAGTTAACATAAGTTAAGAAATAAACATTAATTTTTCTCTAATCTGCGAAAGTGCCTGTTTTACTTAAGAATATTGTGTACGCAGTTTCGACAAATTCCGTTGCAAACAAATCGAAGGTTAAAGCATTTTCGATGCGTTTACTGACAGATAATTGATAATTAGGGGCCGAGGAAATGTCTGTTCAAATCGTTCACAGAAGAAGATTTGCTCTTTCATATTAAAGCTTTTGTATAAACTTTTTATTGAAAAACAAACACGAATGTGTAACATTAAAGATTACATGACAGTCGCCAAATGAACACGTCTGCGGATGTTCTAAATTCAAAATTTCACCATTTCACGATAATTTGCACTTTCCAGTACCGCCCATGAACAGGCTCAATCAAACTGAGGCAGCAACATAGTCAATTTTGCTATGTTGAACATTTTTTGGGGGTTTCTGCTTTTCTCTTTTTTGTTTTCCTGGCTAATTGGTATAAATAATATACACAACGCATATGAGAAATTCTAATATCAGTTTGTTTCTTTCATTGATTTGCGTCCTTTAATGCTATATATGTTTAATGATTAGGAAAGTCTGATGTCGCATTATAACCAGAGCTGCATCAGTACTAAGGGTGTAGTACTTAAGTACCAATACCAGTACTTGGCAAATTATGCAGTACCATTACCAGAACCAGTACTAGATTTTAGCTCGGTACTGCAGTATCAGTACTTTTTTTGGTGAAGTAATTAAGTATCAGTACCATTACTTTTATATATTCATCAAAGTTTGAATAAATACAGTGCCAAACAAATAATTGCAAATATTATTCAGCAAAGAAATAAAATCATAATTTACTTTAAAGCTGCATGCCTCCAGATGACCCAAAATATTTCAAGAAAATTAAACTTGGGAAAAAAATTACTAAAACTTTGACAAAAGTAAACAAATTAAAGATTTTTATCTAATGTGCAATTAATGATTGTATTTTGTAGTATTAATCACCATATTTCTACTACGTTACTAACGGAGTAGGGGTTATTTATGCATTATTAATTTGACCTCTTTTTGGTAATTAACGTGGGTTTTAAGTGCCGATTGTAATGTGTCAAGTACTATCTTTGTTCATTTAACAATATTTTACCTTTAAATACTTTTTCTAAATTTTCATGAAAATTCGGATGAATCTGGACCCTGGAGGCGTGCTGCTTTAAAGTTAACATAACATATTTACAACTTTATAGTTTTAACATACTTTTTACAAACAATATTTACAACATAAATTCATGTCATATCTAACTGTTTTGTAACCAGTCAACTGTATAAATACAATGCAAACATCTTTTATTTAAAACACAACAGTCTTCTGTTGTCTTTCACACCTTCACACCGGAAGACGGACAAAACCCCACCAGTTAAAACCCCACCACTCAAAATTTTATAGAGTGGACAAAAACCCACCACTAAATTTTTTAGAGTGGACAAAACCCCACCACTAAATTTAACAGAGTGGATAAAACCCCACCACTTACCAATTATTGGCCAAGATTTGATGAACTAAAATATATATAATATACAGTACACATTTTCACATTTTATTTTTTAATTTCAATATAACATTTGTGTAATACTGGTATAAGAGAGTATACAAATAATTTACAAACTGTTAGATCAACATCAAAGAGTAGTCATTTATTTGAGACTGTGCCACATTTATGACCTTGAATTATCCATTATTTTAAGTTTCTTCAAATTCATGTCTTCAATTTATTTATATAAAAAATAAACCACTTACTATTAATCAAGAATGAAGCACATTTTCGTCAATTAATGATTAGAAAATAGCACATTTTTATAGCACATTCCTAATTTATTCAGTTCAGACAATTTTCCTTCATTGTACTTAGTTTAAGTGGATACTGTGGCTGATAGCCTGAAGAAACTCGGGTACAGTCTTCTCCTTATTGATGAGTTGTTCACACATTCTTTTGAGTTTCATCTGCTGCACAATTGTTTGTTTTTTAACATGTTTACAAGAAAGTTTTGTCAACTCTATAAAACTGAAGTGGTGGGGTTTTGTCCACTCTATAAAATTAAGTGGTGGGGTTTTGTCCACTCTATAAAATTAAGTGGTGGGGTTTTGTCCACTCTATAAAATTTTGAGTGGTGGGGTTTTAACTGGTGGTTTTTTTTCCTACATTCCTTCACACCAAAGTAATTAGCAACTTTTTATGGTGCTTATAATAAACAATATCACTTTTTTCACTTGAAATGGGATTTTTTAGAATAGAAGAAATTAATTAATAGTGTTTATTTTGCTCTTTTACTAGTAAATACAAAGTAATAAAAGATTTTAATAAGGATATTTTAGCGTAAAGATTTATTGAGTCTGTCTATCTTATTTTAATTTAATTTTTACTTAAAGTCTTTTGTGCTTTTTATGATGAATACTATGTTAACATTTGGTAGGAATATTGCAGCAAATTATCTTTAGATTTGATAACTTACTTTTTCACAAAAATAAAATATAGTTAATGTAATTTACAGCTTTATTATATGACAAAAATTGATGTTATTTTTAATTTTTATCAAAACCAAAAGTACTGTGTAATGCAGTAGCAGTACCACTTTTTAAGACAGTAATGCAATACCAGTACCAGTAGTAGCAAAATTTTGTTAGAGTAATTCAGTATCAGTACCAGTACTTGCAAAAATCGCTGCAGTATGTACTGCAGTACCAGTACCAGTACCAGTAATGCAGCTCTGATTATAACTATATTGATTTGTTAAATATATTGTAATTTATTGATGGCTTAAGTGATAGATATATTAAATTTATGAAATTTATGAAAACAATTATTTTATGATTTATTTCTTTTACAGAGGAGTATAGTTTAAACAAACCGTATAATATTTGGTCCGAATGGGAGGAGTGGCAATGAGTCCAACTGGAGCATTTTATTTTTTAAGTACTTCAAACATATGAAATACGTTTTGAAAATAATGTAGATTCCTCTTCAATTTGATTTTAACATCTTTGACTGGCATTTTAGATATGAAAATGTAAATATTGTTAAATTTAAAATGTGACTTGTGATATTCTTATTTCTTAATAATTTGGCACAACCAATTTTGAAATATTTATTGATCCCCGTGTACATCTAGTTTTATACACATGTATAACTTTTAACCTAAGTTGAAGAATACGAGCAATGTAGAGAAAATTTAATTTTTATATTTTAAATAAGAAATCAGCCTTACACAAGATTAGTGTGAATATCATCTTAATTTATTTCATTGTGACCTTTTTCACTTTACAGGTTGTAGTCGATCTATAAAATAATTATAGTCTGTCCCATCAAATTTGAACATTCCATTTTTTATTTAATATAATAGTAAAATCATTTAAAATAATGTCATGTTAACCATGACGCCAATATCTCTAGGCATGTTTTTTCTCTTTTTTTCATATAGTCAGAAATATGGTCAAAATGTTAAAAATATATTTTTCCCGTTGACTTACGTTGTAACCTGGCGTGACGTCCATTCTAAAATGGCGGCGCCAATATACGTCATTTAGGGTTCGTCTCACAATTAGCGTGAATGTACTCGGTTATTATAAAAAAAATAATTTATTCTTATTTACTTACTGATCAATAGCTAAATGTTATCATTGAAATGAAAAATGAGAACAAAAAGGCAATTTGAATAACAAACCATTATTTAAAATAATCAGTTTAAAATCCTTTGAAGTGAAATATCAGTAGAGTCTAACCGCTTTTTAAATTATAACACACAAAGATTTATATAATTATATTATTACCATGATATATTGTCGTATTTTATATTATATCATTAAGAGAAGTGATTTGATTGGATAGCATTTCAATCAAGCGAATACCGCAACGCGTCGTAGGGGAACGGGAGCACTAACTATAGAAGACTAAAAGACAAGTTCTTTGCTAATTAATGTTTAATTTAAATAATTCTGTAGTTGTCTGAATACTGTCCATTATTATGTATCACGTCTATTTAAAATAATTAAATTAACCAGGACAGATGGGATTCAAAAATTTGTTACCCTTCTTATTGTGGGTGCGATGTCCGTGCGATAAAACTTTTCGTATGTTTTAACTTTCATAACAGATACCTGGCGT